CCCTTGCGCAATGGTCAAAACCATGCGCATCTGAAATGAGAATATCCAAAAGTGAAGTTGGGGCAACAATTTGTCCTTCATGGCTCCCCTTTGGTGCCACATTGAGTGTTCATAGGGGCCTGCTTGTTGTTGAATTCGAATGATATCATCCAACTGAGTTTGAGGTTCTATAAGTACTACAGGTGCTAATACTGCTACCTGACACCCTGAGGATTTTTTAGCTTTCCCCTTAATGACAAAATCATTTCATTTTGTATGAGCCTGACACTTGATTATCGCTAGTTGTTTTGGTATCATCATAGCAGAAATGAATTGACCTATTTGTTCGGCATGTTGTATGGGAGTCCCGTCACTCTTTTTGAAACCTCTTTGTTTCCATACTGCTCCAAACAAGTGACATACACCATGAGCATATGCTGAATCAGTGAAAATATTGGCTGTTTGACCTTTTGCTAATTGACATGCAGCTGTGAGAGCTTTTAATTCTGCTAATTGAGCAGAGCAAGGCTGTACACAATGTTGTGAATATCACAGGCACAAATTCTTCCTTGTCCTTTTTTACTACTGAATATCCTGTATGATTTCCTACATGATCTCTAAAGCTAGAACCATCTACGAAGTAAGTAACTTCTGCTTCACGGATTGGTGTAGACTCAAGATCTAGACGTAATCTGGTAAATGCCAATGAATCAGTCACACAATCATGGGGCTTTCCTTCAAAAGCCAAAGGAATTAGTTCAGCCGGATTCACTGTATGGCATCGCTTAATTGTAACATCTGGATACGTGAGTAACGACGAACAGGCTAGAATTCGGGCTTGAGTCAGAACAAATTTTCCTTGTTCTATGAACTCCACAATTTTGTGATGAGTATAAATAGTTACTGGGTACCCCATGGTTATTGTGGATGCTTTCTCATATGCATAATATACTGCTGCATGGCCTTGTTGGTAACATGGTGGGTAACCTTGTGCTACATTGTCCAACTTTGTACTATAGAAAGCTATAGGCTGTTTTTTCCTTCCACTACAAGCCTCTTGCATTAATATAGCTGATGCATAACCATCAGCTCTATTTGCTACATACAAATGGAATTGTTTAGAGTATTCAGGATTTCCCAAGGCAGGGGCCTGTTGTAGTTCTTTTTTTAGAGTCTCAAATGTTAGTAATGCATCTGTATTCCATTTTAATGGATTACCTAAATGTTGCAGTCCTGCTTGTTTCATGATCTCTCTCAATGGAGCTGTTTTTACTGCATAATCTTCTGTCCAATCGGCACTAAAGCCAGTCATCCCTAGAAAAGTGATAATTTGTCCTACTCTTTGAGGCAGTGGTGTTTTACTTATGCCTTCCAATTGAGCTGGAGCTATAGCTTTTGTGCCAAATGCAATTAATCGTCCTAAGTATTCAACTTGAGGCTGGCAATACTGTATTTTGGTTTTGGATACTTTATGACCTCCTTGTGCTAATTTTGTTAGGACCTTAATAGAATCTTTATGACATTGTTCTAGTCATGTAGAACAAACAATTAAATGATCTACATATTGTAACAGAGTACTGTCTATCATAAGATCCTCTAAATCAGCCTTAAGAACTTAAGAACTTGAATATATGTGGCGAATGTTTAAACCCTTGAGGCATTCTGGTGTAGGTATACTGTTTACCCGCATATGTAAATGCAAATAAATATCTACTCTCCTCTGCTAGTCGAACACAGAAGTAGGCCGAACAGAGATCAATTACTGTAAAGTATTTGGCGGCAGGAGGGACATTCGTCAGTAACGTGTGTGGGCTTGGTACCTCAACTGGCAAATTTTCTACTATATAATTGATTGCTCGTAAGTCATGCACAAGACGCCATCTGTTTTTGTCTGCTTTGATCACAGGTATAATTGGAGTGTTACAATAACTAGTTGTTTCTATTAATACTCCTGCCTTCACTAAACCTTCAATAGTGTTTCTTATACCTGTTTCAGCATCAGGACGCAAGGGGTATTGTGACTTTCTGGGCAGACGTGCATCTGGTTTAAGTTGTACTCTCCACAATTTTGATGTAATTTTTGTCAGCTGAGTGAAAAATCAACGGATGTTCTGTTGGTTCCCATTTGCTTTGTTCTGCCTTTTTCATCATTGGTCCTAAATCTTTTGCTTCCCAATTTTTTCCTACATATACAGACACATGTGGTACAGAATCTGTTACATTGAACCATTTTTTTCACAAATTCACATTCAGGTATACTCAGAGCTGCTCCCTGTTTACCTATTATAATGTGCTGTGAGATTATTTCAATTTTTTGTCCTTCAGTTTCTTCCTGCCATTTCTTTTCCATTTTTTCATCTCTTTCGGGATCATACATCATTGTGGAACACCAAATTTGTAGCGCTAATTTACATAATGCATCTCTTCCTAACAAATTAACAGGAGTCTGATTTGATACAAGAATGGGTATGGTTACACTTTCATTTTTGGTTTGTAGACACACTGGCACTGTCATTGGAATTAGCTGCATTTGTCCCGAGAATCCTATTGTCTTTGCGAATTTTCCAGACAAGGGGAGATGTGAGGCATAATTTGAATTTACACAAGTATAAACAGCTCCTGTGTCTACCATCAGTGGTGTGGTCTTTCCCTCTATTTCAATAGAACACCAAATTTGTAGCCCTAATTTACATAATGCATCTCTTCCTAACAAATTAACAGGAGTCTGATTTGATACAAGAATGGGTATGGTTACACTTTCATTTTTGGTTTGTAGACACACTGGCACTGTCATTGGAATTAGCTGCATTTGTCCCGAGAATCCTATTGTCTTTGCGAATTTTCCAGACAAGGGGAGATGTGAGGCATAATTTGAATTCACACAAGTATAAACAGCTCCTGTGTCTACCATCATTGGTGTTGTCTTTCCCTCTATTTCAATTTGCAGAATAGGTTCTTGATCAGCTTTAGTTGTTAAAATTGGAAGCTGACTCTCCCCTGTAAGATTCTCTAGGCACCCCTAATATCCTTGATTTGGACCTCCCCAAGGGTTTACTTTAGGGTAATGGACTGCTGTCAACTCTCCCCCTTCCTCCCCAAGGTGGCTGTTGCCATGGATTGATGGGACAGTCATTCTTATTATGTCCAGGTTGTTCACATCCCCAGCACACTCCTGGAGGACCAGGATAAGGCTTGCCTCTTCCTCTCTGTCCTCTTAGTACTGGGTTTCTTTTCCATTCCATTGGCCCTGGTTGTTGAGTATAGACATTAATGATGGGTAAAGGGATCTGGTGTGCATTTGGATGGGCTGCTGCAGGGGGCTTGGCTTAATAGCTGGTGAAGGAGCATTTACTGGAGACATCACTGTCATTTGTTCTGATTCTTCTTTCTTTACTGAAGCTTGAATATTTTTCTTATTCTTTTTTTGTGTTCTTCAAGTTGTAACTGAGTTAATTTTCTCTGTAGCTCTTTCTCTTGGTTCTTGAGCTTCTGTACATTTTTTCTGTATTGTTCCACTGCATGAGACACATGGTCACAAAACTCTTTGTGTGTTTTAGAGTTTAAGCCGACCACGCCCTCCAGCCTGCTCTTTACAGCTTGTGGCAAGGCAACAGCATTTCTAAACAATGTTGCCATTAATGGGTCTCCTTCTGGATTCCCTTCAGTTTCTTGCTTCCATCTTTTCAGCTGTCTCTGGACATATGTGGTTGGATTTTCTGTTTTCCCCAGCTGTTCTCCCTTTAATGATTTAGGGTCCAGTCTGATCAGGTACTCAGCATGCAGTGCCTGCCACACTGCTGGATGGAACCCAGATAGCACACGACGTCGCGGAGACGTCTGTGAAAGATCGTAGCATCTGGTAAACATCGCAATCGATCGAACGTTTTCAGTTGTTAATGAGCCGTCTTCTTTACCTCTATACGACGTCTATACGATGAATCTTCAACATTTGAAATTACGTGCAGCCACGCAGCGCCGGATCGGAGCAAGCTGATGAATGAGTAAAACTCGAGATTTTAACGCAACACCATGTCACACCAGACGCGACCGTTGGTGCAAAGAGCTTGGACTACGCCAGAAATAGAATGAGGAATCATTTTACTGACGGGGATTTGTCGAGCCGCGCCGCTTTCAGTGATTATAATGGGTTTATATTCTTTTGTTGCGTTGCATCGCACCGCTCGCGTCGAACTACACACATGTATTTTATAATAAAATACAAATACAACAAACACACACAGGAACACTGTTTGGAACCCATCATGCGCAACCAGCCTTTAAATCTGTTTGTTTGTCCATCTATCCCTTTGTTTGCTTGATTCCTCCGTAGACAACAATACATGCAAAAAAATGCCAGCCCAGTTGAACATTTGAACTGACCCTCGTTTTAAGCTAACTGTAATTGTACCTGCTTTATCACTGCTTCACATTCCTTGTCTGTTATCTTGCAGAAAGCATAAACACTTCAATTTATACCATGTCTGTATGAAGGTGAACGGTTTGTGTCAGGTCGTTCTTTGACTCCATGCCATGCATTGAAAGTGTAATACACACAGCCATTTTCATATCATTCTTATTTTGTTCCAAAGAATGATGCTCACAATTTCCAATGAGAAAGTTAAAGGTGACAAAGGCAAAGAAAACCCTTGATGTTTAACTGAATGAGGAAGAAGCCCTTGGATGGAACACTATACAAATGTTCATTTGATTCATATTGCCTCACAAAATTAATGATACTGACATGCGTCCCAGACTTGATTATGACAGTTTATATTACACTTTATTTTTTAGTGAAAGAAAATTCACTGAGCCTGTAATAAACTTTAAAACAATCTTTAAATAATAAAACATTAGGGACACACTTTAATGTATTAACTGCTGAAAGCATCGATGTAGGGGGTGGGTTGACTTTATTCACAACATAACAGTCTCTACATAATAACAGTCTCAAATAAAGAATATAAAGATCTTTAATAGAATGATCCATAACATCTGCAATGGACAAGGTGCAGACCGTGCATGGCAGACACTGGTTATGGACTGCACTTAATGAAACTTTGTTGCAAGATGGGTGTGGGAATGATGGAGGGCTTTAGGTAGATCGGTGCATCTTAGGATGTTGTCCTAGGGTGTCTGGTGGAGAAAAGTGGGAAAAAATGTTAGAGCATTTTATAAGGAAATAATGTACAAATTACTGAAAGTGTAAACAATAATACAATATTGGGCAGTGAACACCATGTACAATGCAGCAATATGCACACAATACTGTCAACAATCTCTGTACCAAATACTACACAGCTGTGCCACTGAAATCAGATTGATGAACATGATTGTCACTATTTATTTGAATAAAGTTTTTGGGTGAACCATCCCTTTAAGGTCCATGTTTGATGGTTTGATAGAGATAATTGCTCATTTAGCAGTATTGCTGTGAAAGCTGACAGTAATTAATAAAACTGAACAACATTCCAACAACCATACATTAAACAGCACAGAGCAACTAACCCAAAGCTGCCCTATGAATGCGTGCCCAAACTGTGGGCCCCTACATCCTGCCCAGTTTTGTCCTCCAAACATTGTGAAAACTGAAGTCAAAGAAAACAAATATAGTGAATGTATTTATGTAGGTTGTGCTACACATTGGCAAAAAAAGGGTTAAAATATAAACATGACATTCTAAAACAAAAAACTCTTTGCCCACCATTTTAAAACATATTTACAATGCTAAAAACAAAACAGACTAAATGTTAACTGGTATGGGGAACATGTATTCACGTGTATATACACGTATATTCTGAATATAGTAAATTAACATAGCAATTGTTTTACATTTAACAACTGTAGTAATTACATGTATACCCTCTTTACAGTTACTGCTCTCATAAATATAACATGTAGAATATTAAACCTACATTTAAAATAAATATTTTAGTAAAATGTCAATTTTAGTCAGAATCATTGCACTCCTATTCTCTTCAATTATTTCCAAAATTAGACAAGGACACAACCATCAAATGTAAGTTGTGCTCTGGAGAAACATGACTCAAGTCCACACACATCTGTCGAAGCATCTGTCAGGGCAAACCACAAACAATATTTGTTTATTGAAGCACTTTCTCTGCTTCTTTCAAGTTTTGTGCTCTGTGTGTGACTCAAATAATCCTATCTACTCCAGTTATAAAAGCTGCTGCTGGTTCAGATTTAACAGATGAAGTCCTGCCTCGACTGGACTCTTGTCGTGTTAATTGTGATAAGACTTTTAGTTGTATGGATGTCGCCATCTTTGATAATACTTTACTATACTACTTTGCTTTATTTAGAGGAAATAATCACAAATAGAACACTGCTTGACTTCAGGTACTTGTGCATACAGACAGCATTCAAAACACTATTGTAAGCAGTTGTGTGTAGAGAACATTGAGACGCACATCTGTAAGTAAATGCGGTTGTTACTCCCAAACAGTGACAGTGTGAACAGCCTACCTATGAGTCATAACAGTTTGTCCTTTTGTTTTTCTTTACTTTTATTTGTTATAATTAATTGGGTTAAACTGGCTTCTGCTTTTCAATTCTGGACAAACTTTATTTTATAATTTATAATTAATTTTTTCATGGTGTATTGCATATACTACATTCCAAATAATTTGTTCTTCAATTTGCATTCTTTGAAGACGACTGGAAATGGTGTGGAATAACTTGCCTTTTTAATATATAAAAAAAATAAAATGTGGCATTTTATCCAATTATTCTAAAACATTATTTGATTATTAAAGCCTTAGGCTGATGATACACAGGGCAACTTTTTGGGCAACGTTGCTGTCAACAGGCAACCAAGTGAGACACAGGGCCCACAACCGATCTAAAGTATCCAAATAGAAATGTGTTACCCATTCTCAACGGGAAAGTGCCCAAGCAACATAGCTCAAAAAGGTTGCCCCTGTGTATCATCAGCCTAAAACAATTTTATTTTAATGTTTAAAAACTTTTAACTATATCCTGGATTAAACTGGATTAAACTGTAAATTACAGGATCCAGAAAAAACACAAAACTACATTTAGGGAAAGTAAAACTGAATAAAAAAAAAAACAAGGGTGTGTGGATTTTTACCATTATAGGCTGGTTGTTTTCACACACTGCGGCCACACAGCTGTATTCAAACATCTTATAAAAGTGATTTTTGCATAATTACTTACCCTTTAAGTAAATATTGTTCTTGAATAGCAGCAGTAAGCATTAATGTATGATCACATTTAAGTTTTAAAAATAAAGTTTTGAAAGTATTTAATTGGTCTGAAGAATTTCATTGGTCTAGTAATTATTAGTGGAAATTGGCACATGCCCCTGAGTTGTAGTACTTCGGGTGACACGAGTTAGACTAAATCAAAAATAGCCGACTTCTTGTGGTGTGGAGATAATGGCTGTAACTAACCATCATATTTATCTGTCCAGTTTGATTTTGCATTTTTGTTTTTTTTTTGCATCCAGTTTGATTACATCAATGACAGTTTTAACTTTTCTTTTTTTTTTTTTGCATCCAGTTTGATTACATCAATGAGTTTTAACTTGTTAATGCTGACAATTGATATTGGTATAAGTGGGATAATCCACAGCTAGATGTGCATAAATAATAATTCACTATGCAGTAGTAACTGCCCATTAAAAAATACAAATTACTTACTATTTGTTCTTGCCTGGTGGGTACTTGAGGGTCTCAGTTCAGCGATTGTGTCCTCTGATGGATTGTACAGAAAATGTAATGTTACCTAGTGATATTAATTTGCAGTGTATGTGTTTATGAATGTTCTTTTACCTTGAAAGTTAGATGGGTGTTCACCCCAAGCATCCTCTTGCTCATTTTCATTGGACAAGCTCACTTGAACAACTGGAGCGGAGAAAGGTGAAGTTGGTAAGTTGCATGAAACTGATACACTATGGGCTAGATTTACTAACAGCTTGTGCCAGTGCAAACCGTCTTTTGGTGTTAAAATAATACTGTCAGGATTTACTAAAGAGGCGCAGTAAAGAATTAGCGCTGAAAAGGCGTGGACACAGTTGTTTTTGCGTCTGACCTTATTGAATATGCATTAGGAGTTTTCCTTTCAGATGCAAAATTTATGGGAGGAGAGTATTAAAATGAATCATGCAATGCAATTTAATAACATTTGTGCTCGTCAAATTATTGGTATTTGCTCCATTTTTAATGCCCAAAAAAGGCATATCTTAAGCATGTAGCCATATCTTTAGCAACATAATTTTTATGACGTGTTAGTTTTATCACATTTAAGAGCTTTTTGTGCTTGCAGGTGCTTCAGGTGTGAGACGATGGAGTTGCATCACTAATCAATGTACACGTACGTTAAATTGAAGTGCTAAATTTGTAAATTATACATTTTATAGTTTAATAAAAATACTCTCTCAGATAAACCTACTGTGTTGCAGCTGTTGAGAGGGCAATTCTGGAGGCACTTAACGAACTGGACATGAAGATCAATCATCTGACTTCAGTGGTCCAGTCCCTTGCAGCTAACAGCTGTTCTAATGCTCCAGTGCTGGTGGTGGACAGTGAGGATGATGTCTTTCCTCTCACAACCATGGAGGAACTAGCCAAACTGGAAAAACAATTATCAGAAAAAGCAATGATGCAAAAGATGGTAAAAATCAT